GTGTGAGTGCTTGGGACCAGTTTCGTGAATGGCAACTGGAGGTGGCCGCCAGGTACGAACGAGGGATAGATAGTGAAATGAGTAATGAGAGGACACAAAATGATTTAGAGATCTTTTCTTTTTCACAAAGACATGACGAGCGGGGCAGCACGCAAGTTGAAGGGTCGTGACCAGGAGCAGCCCTTGCGTACGGGACAAAACCCAACCAAGTTGACATGATTGGAGAGAGAAATTTAATCACAACTCCAAAGCAAATGTCTGCAACTTGACAGCTTTGGCTTTGCACTAACACTTGTTTAAGGTTGCGTCTGCTCCGTTGGACTACTTGACGGTATCATCACTCTTTTTAATTAAAAATAAAATTTTATTGATAATATTATTTTAAACATTACTCTCAATTTCATTTATAAGAACATTTTTAAAAAAATATATTTAATTTTATTTATAAGTTATGGTATGAATTTTTAGATAATATTTAAAATATATTTTTAAAATTATTCTTTTATGAAAAAAAAAAGTAACATGACATTGATATTGATAAAATTGATAAAATACTTATAGATAAGATCGAAAGAGTACATTTCAAATAGATAAAGAAAAAGATAATAAATTAATTTAAAAATAATTACTTACTTATTAAATGTGAGATTCGATTAAAAAAATCCTACATTTTAACGAAGGGAGTATAATAGATCAAATTTATGAGGATTTGATTAAAATAAAATAAACTAGAGAACTTAATTCAAAATCAAGTGAAATCAGAAAGACTTGCAGATATATTTTTCCAAATTTTAAAACCACGCTTGGTCTCATGCATGGGGCGTAGAGATGTGGTAATTATTTTTCTTGTTAGTCTTACCTTTCTTAATTGCAATACCTGTTGGCCTGCTTTTAATTTTTATACAACATTTTATCATTATATAATGGTTTGTTTCAATAAGAGATAAAATTGAAACGTCACACATTTTTTATAAATTTAAGGCACTATCAATTATCATTTTTAAAAAAAATCACAAAATTAATTAGCTTTATTTTGGAATCAGAGGGATGTTTTTTAAATGAATGGGTGATTAATTTTGTTTGTTAGCTGAAGCAGGTCAGCCGGCGGCGCCCACACTCATACAATTCTACAAGTATATGCCAAGACCTTCCATCTTGTCGACTAGCGAAACAACATTTACCGCGCATCATATTTTTAATTATATTATTATTATCATTATTATTACTGCTGCTGCTTGCATGGATTCTAGAACATACCGCTCTCACTTTTACTATCACTTCCTTCCACGTGTTTCTTTTTACTCCTTATTAACAAACATGGCCCAGTTTTTTTTTAAAAAAAAATCAAATTCAATTAAGCACCTTCTCAATCCAAGCTGTGCTCAAAATCAAATAATAAATGCCACCACCGACAACTTGATCCATCGTGCCGTGCAAAATGAACAATGTATTGGACGAATTTTTAATTAATGATAATTTTGTTTTTCGTACCAGTAAAAAACAAAGAAGAATAATAATTAAGGACTTTCTAAGAATATTAATCTCAATTACAGACTATGAAATTTTAAAATTTCAGTTAAGAATTATGGTCCTTAATTGTGATAAAAAAATGTAATTTGTAAGATGGGATTCAGTAATGCGACTTAGGAATTCACTAACTCAACTTGAAAAAATTACTAATGTATATTGTGAAAACATAAAACCCCACTTGAAAATGGAATGTTTAACAAAAAGGCGCCACTTCAGAATCCACTAATTAGGCTTGAAAAAATTTCTAACATATATTATGAAAAAAATAAAACCCCACTTAAAACTTATTAATAAAAAGTGACTTGTTTAAATTTGTATTTTTTTATTAAACAATTGATTCTCTAGTGAAGTTTCATGTTTTTACAATATATATTAGAAATTTTTTTAAGTTGAGTTAGTAAATTCTTAAGTGGCACTTTTTTTAAACAATTGATTTCAAGTGGAGTTTTATATTTTTCACAATATATGTTTCAAATTTTCTCAAGTTTGGTTAGTGAATTCTCAAGTAACATAATGAATTTCACCTCACAAACTATATTTTTTTATCACAATTAAAGATCATAATTTTATATTGAGATTTTAAAATTTAACAATCTATAGTTGAAATTAATATTTTAGAAGATCATTAATTGTCATTCTCCAAAAAAAAAAAGTTTTGGTGAGCACATGAAATATCTGGCGCTCGTCTATGAGAATGACGTGAATATTATATTAATATATTTCTCTTGTTTCATACACGCTTTAAAATATTTATTTAATTTTTTTATAAATCATAATATAATTTTTTATATAACATTTAAAAAATATTTTAAAATTATTTTTTCATAAAAAATTAATATAATATAATTTTTAGATTTGTTATATAAGGGTATATTTAAAATTTTACATATTTTTATTTCTCATATTTTATTTTTGCATTAATATTGATATATTGATATAAATGGCTTATAAAAAAAATTGCAGGAGTACCTTGCAGCTACAAAGATTCCTCATGATTGCACTCTTACATCCCCATCATAACTAGCTAGTAAGACTTATTTGAATTTGAAATTTAGTCTCCTTTATAAAAAAGATTGGATTAGCAAATTCATAGTTCAATCTAATTTAGTCTAATTCAGTCATAACTTGAAAAACTAACAAAATCAGATTTGGTTCATAGAACTAAAAGACCGATCTTGGTAGTCCAATACTTGCTAAGTTTATTTATTTTTTTTCTATACGATAGATAATAAGTCGTTTCATCTTAATAAACTCAACTAAAATAAAAAATAAAATACTATAATCAAAAAATTTATAACAATCTCTAACAGTAATAAAAAATAATATTTTAGTTGGTTTGGTCTTTTTTTATCTTTCCAATTCTTGGACCAAATTATTTACTAGACTGGACTTATTTGAGTTAGAGTGGGTTGGACATGACAAACAAATTTTTATATAGACCGAGTTATATAAATACATGATTATGAATAAAGAGGTTGTTTATTTAATATAAAAGAGGTCTAGAGGAGGGAGGGTCTTCTTTCCATTTTTTCTTCTTCATTTCCCTCCATTTCTCCAATCCTTACCACTTAAATTATTTTATTAAATAATTTTTTTAATGATAAAATTAATGAATGATGGGGATTGAGAAAGTAGAGAAAAAAAATGGAGGGATCTCCTGCCCAATTTGAAGGGCGTATCATTATTGATCATTATTAGCTAACCAATATCTCTAAATAAATTACCACATGAATCCTTGAATCAAAATCATTGTTAAAGCAATTTCCTTTCTTCGAACCATAATATATAAGTTGTTTTTCATAAGCTTTGTTACATTTAAAATATAAAATATCAGGTACGTGTCATGTATTTTTTTAGTTACACAATTACTTTATTGAGTAATTAACCAGGGTATTTTGAATAAATCAAATGTATATTCATTATATTCTAGGGCATAATGAAAAAATTACGTGAAATTGTTTAGAAAATCAAGAATTTAACTAACCTTTTTAAATATATATTTACCGTGATTGTTTTGAATTAAAACCATGATATGTGGACCTTCTATATATTATTTATTCTATAATAAATTCTTGTTATTTATTTTATTAATATATTAAGATTTACTTGCCATAATTTGATTGTATATAAATATATTAAATATGTAAAACTCTATGTATATAAATCTTACATAAACATAAATTAATTAATAATGATTTGTATTATAATACAAGGTAGATGTATACAAGGAAAATTAATTTTTCATATCAATTACTGTAAGTCAATCAGGCATTAATATTTCAATTTCAATGACAATCCAAATCAGTTGGCACAGATCTCAACAAAATAACTAAACCCAAAATCTCAATTAATTAAGAAGGCCTTTTGTCAAGCCCAAAGGGCCGATCTTGAAGAGCAACAGAGATCTGGTCCTTTATGCTAAGCCCATGAACATTTAATTTCGAGCTGCCGAGTTTAAATGCAGTACAAGCCGCAACGACCTGAAGAAACATAGAACGGTGAGGCCGCCGGCGGCTTCAATTTTTCATTTTCGTGGCTCTTAATTCCAGGTTTAGATCTCTCTTCTCTTCGTTTCAAGTTTTTCCTCTTCCCGTTTCGTTTATTTCCCAAATTAAGCCTGCAAATTTTGTTAACCTTGGCCCTCATGCTGTAAATTCACATAGAAAAACTTGTTTTCCTTCACCTGGAACATACCCACAAAACACACATTATAAATTGAGATTTGAAGTCATTGACCAAGCAACATTGAAATTTAAAGTCACCCTATTTTTCCTCCCAATTTTTTTTCCGTTCACTAATAATATAATAATTATAGTAACATCTATTCTCCTTCATAATGTCGATTTTGATACAGTGGAAGTGGACCGAAGCTTATATCTTTTGGCTGCAGGACTTTCTTGAATTTTTTAGTCAAATTGGTTTAATTGTATTATCTCTTACTGGCAGGTTTCACCAAAAGACTGAAACGATGACCCGTGTGTACGTTGGTAACTTGGATTCGAGAGTTACTGAGAGAGATCTTGAAGATGAATTTCGTGTATTTGGGGTTATACGGAGGTAGCGGAATGGAAAAAAAAAAAAAAATTTACTAATCATATTGCAAGTTATTTTCATGTTTTACAAATAAAAAACGAATATTAACATTCAACTATGGTGACCGGGTGGTAAACGTGTCGCATGTTATCATAGTTACTTTTTAATAGCAATTTGATATCTTTCAGTTTAACGTAGACCTTTTCTTTTTCCTTTTTTTTAATATCGTGTGTAGTGTCTGGGTCGCGCGGAGACCACCTGGTTATGCCTTTATTGATTTTGATGACCGCAGAGATGCGCAAGATGCCATTCGTGAATTAGACGGTATGTTAGAAGCATTTAAGAAACAAGGCTGAAATGCGACGTATTTATTTAAGAATTCTCGAATTGACTAATTCTTGTTACATGCTAATGTGCTATAACCACCCCCCCCCCCCGGGGACATGTTAGGGGTTATCCTCAGCTTGTTATTTAAGTTCTTTTTTCACTTGAGGAAGCCACAGGCCTTTGGGGAAGCAGATGCTCTCTTTGTTCTACTTCTTTATTGCAAATATCTCATGCAAGCACTGAGCAGGCCTGCGGGAATGGTTTTTGCTTCAGTCTTCATCAAAGACTGCTGATTTGTAAAGTTGATTGTACGTAATTGAGAAATAAGAATGCTAACAGAGGGATATACCACTTTGGATGGTCATGGCAAGCGAAGTGTTTGCTTGTGAGTTGCCTACTATTGCAATTAAACTATGGGCTGTGTGAATGCGGCCTGTGGATATAATTACATGCATATATTCCGATGAGTAATATGTGCTTGAATAGATGATCAATCGATATAACTGCTCCATTGAACCTTTGAGAAGCATTTCTTGACAATATATCCTTTTCTGTTAGTTTTGTTTTCTTTAAAAAAAAAAATTATATTCTTAACATGCCTTCTGTATTTGTTTTTTGGAGCAGGTAAGAATGGTTGGAGGGTGGAGCTTTCTCACAACTCTAAAGGGGGAGGTGGCCGTGGTCGCTCTGGTGGCTCTGATTTGAAATGTTATGAGTGTGGTGAACCTGGTCATTTTGCTCGCGAATGTCATATGCGTGGTGGTTCAGGAAGACGACGTAGCCGCAGTCCACCTCGATACCGCAGGAGCCCTAGTTATGGGCGGAGGTGAGACTGATTCCCATAGGTTCTCTGATCCTCTGCCAGTATGTCGGCAGGACACTTTGTCTCTCCTGAAGGAAAACAAATATTTGGGAAGTAGTTGTATTTCTTGTGATTGTGCAGCATAGTCTGGTAGTTGTGCTCCCTGCATTTGTTAGCAAGTTAAAATTTTACTTTCCAGGAACTTTCATATTAGTTAAAGACTCCGATAGCTCTAGACAGTGAATTTGTTTTTAAATTAAAAAACCTTGGTATCATTCATCTTATAAATAAAGCAATTTGGCTGTGTTTATTAGAATAAGAAGAAAAAGATTGGTTCTGGTTAAACTTGATGATTTTATTACATGCATAAAGCATTACGTATTCTTTGTAGTGTTCTTTGATAATTCATTGATATCAAGCAGGAGTTACAGTCCTCGTGGGGGTAGGTCCCCTAGCCCTAAGCGCCGCAGTTTGTCACCTCGTGGACGCAGCTATAGCAGATCACCTCCTTACCAAGGACGTGAGGATCTACCATGTACAAATGGGTTAGGCTACTTCCCTATGTACTCTAACTTATTGTTTTAGACTTTTCCTTTCTCTCTGACAGACAAACATAAGTTTTTGATCGTGTCTGCTAAATGTTTAATCAGATTGCTTTCTCCCCCATTATCGATCTTGGATTTGAGGTTATTGTATATGGTGTCTTGTTGACCTTTCAGAGTCTGTTAGCTAGACCTCATGCCTTAGCAGGACCTGTTTTATTAAGTGTAGTTTATTATACGGCATGAGTGTTGCTCTTATATTTCTATTGACATAAAATGCTGATTAATTTGCAGAAATGGAGTAAGGGAACGGCACCGCAGTAGAAGCTGATTTATGAGAACTTGGAGTTGCCATTGTTAAGAGGATAAGGAGATTTTGTTGATTTGGTGTGCTCAGATTGCAGTACGAGTTTGTTTAATCAGGCAACGCCCTGTGCTTCTACTCTTAGATTGGATTAATTACTTTGTAGAATTTTCTAGGTTATGTTCTATTATGTATGCTGAGTACTTTTAGTTTCCGTACAGGTAAAAGTGTCTTTTCAAGGTAGTTGTTTCTCACCTGTTGAAAAAGTTTCATATTTCTGCCAAAACTTATGCTCTATTTTTCCCCGTGTTGAGGTGTCTTCTGGTACTGCTACATTGATTTTGTGCGTTGATGGGACATGATTCTTGGCTCCCCTTCTTTGGGATCTTCAATTTTTGAATGGTTGGGGGTCCCAGCCGGCTGCTTGCTTCTGTTTCATTTAGTCTCTCCCCACTTGTGATGTGTGCGCCTCAAACTCTAATGGTTTTAATTATAACTTCAAAAAGGGTTGACGGGCTGCATCAAATACTTCTGGCAGGTACTTATGTTCTACGGAAGTGGGTTTTGGGCTTTTCTTCCACGTGAAAAGAAATCTAAATGATCTGGATTGAAAGTAAAGTTCAGCTAGGATTTAAGACTCAATTGCATAGTTGATTAAGCCGAATTACTGTTCTTTTCTGAAGCATTCCACATCTTGCAGTGATTATTCCCCAAAGGAAAAAAAAATGAAAGAAAAGAAAGAAAGAAATTAAAGAAGGAACCCCTCGACCTTTGATTTTTGTATCCATCTTTTGGTTTCTACAATACATTAGTTTGGAACTGCATGGCTTCTGTCCAAAAAGTGGAACTGCATGGCTAAGCAGCTGCTGGTCAGGCATATGGTTCAACCCTCAGATACTGAAAGTTCTCACACTCCCCCACCCTTAATTATGTGGTCCTGGATTAGATTATTTTGGTTGCCTGACCTTTGGTGACTGTTTGTTAGCTTTGCTAAGGTACGTTAATATTGCTTGAAGCTTTCGCTGATCCTGAGAGGGAGGCAAGTGTTAGCTTTACTAGTTATAGTATAAAGAGCATTAGATTGTGGTTCTCTGTTGGATGAATTTGGACATCCAATTTGGTTTTTGATTTGATTCATGCATGGGACACATTTCTAGTATAAGCTGGGAATTACTGCTGGTTTTTCCGGTGCTTCTCCTTTGACACATCTCTTTTCAAGTTGGTTGATGCTAAGATACATTGTTTAGGTTACCTAATTAACAATGATTTGTAATCTGTTTTCATCTCAGCGTGCCCCTCTTATTATTATTATTATCTTCTTTTGGCATGATTACTTTACAGGCTTATTTGTAGCTCCCCCCCCCCCCCGGGCCCAAACACAAATAGAACAGGGGATCAATGAAGAGAAAAAATACAAAGCAAGAAGAAAATCCTACCACCCTCTCATCAATTTCCACCTGACCCATCCAAGGTGGACTTTTGATCAAAGGTCCAAAAAATTCCCCTTAACTCAAGGGCTGAAGCAGGTTTCTTGTAGCTTTTGATTCCCTGTCTATCAGTCTAGGGGCTTGTTGGGGACCAAATATCTAGCAGCGACCATATGAGGTTACTTTTGATTGTTACGTAAATATGTTGATGCTCATAGTGTGCTGAAATAGAAACAAATACCGCACATGCATGGACAATGTGTCACAAATAAAATCAGTCTTTTACTCATCGGATTCGTTCTGGGCTATAAAATCGTAAGTAGAATGAGGCATAGGAAATTTTCCTCAAATGCATTATATAATTATAAACTCAATTAGACAAGTCACGAATAGTATCTTTATTATTATTGTTATTGTTATTGTTATTATTATTACTACAGAGGCAAGGTAACGCTTGAAAATAGGAAACAGCAACGAAGTTACAGCAAATCAGACACTAATTGCCTTATCCCTCAGAACAGAATGAACACAATCTGAAGGAATATCAAGGAAGACAGTTGTGTTATAACCAGATCTATGTCCAGCCTTCGCCAAGATGTCCGCCCAATCGATGCTTTCCCTACGGCTAAAATGCAACTCTAAATCACAACCATCATAAATGAGATCCCTGGTTGAATGAACGATCTCTCTAAAAGGATGGTCTTGACCACTATCTTGAACAGTAAGTTAAGTGCTTCTAAAGAATCAGAGCTAGGATTAGAACGTTAAGTGATTCTAAAGAACAGTGAGTCTCGAGTAGTATTTAATGTTAAAGATTCCTATGTTTATGCAAGGATTAGTGGTGGAGATGGAGGTTCGGATCCTCTCCTCATCCCTTCTCTCCTTTTCTCCCCTTCATCCTCATCCCCACCCTTAAACAACAAAATAAATGGTCCAGATTTGTTTGTTGTATAAAATAATTATCATATTATCATATAAAAATAAAAATAAATTTAAATTGTTAAAATTTGACTTGCACAGTTTACAGTTGTATACTATTATTAAATTTTTTTATTTATTTTATCGCAGTTAAAAACTATGAAGATTAAATTTTAATAATTTAAAATTATTTATTTATTTTTTAATATAATATTATGATTCTTGTTTTATAAAATAATTGAATCCAAGCCCTTCATTTTTTAACCGAAGGTGGAGATGGAGATGAGAAGGAGAGAAGGGATGAGGAGAGGATCTCCTTCCGTGGAGATGGGCTACACGATGACCCAAAAAGTTGGTGCGATGAAGGCACGTCTCCGTCCTCTACCCAGTGTCTTGCGGACTTCCAAAATCGAGATTTTGCTTTTCACTGCACGAATGGGTTAATGGGTCTAGGCTTTGTTAGTGTACACTCATGTTGGAGCCCACACACGAGATTCTCCGAACATTGATTTTTTATGGTGTGTTTGGACTTGGTTATGATTTTTGGAAAATAAAAAGTACTTTTAGAACGGGGAAAGCTGTATGTTTTTTTTTCCCCCAAAAACTTCAGACATCGGGAAACAGCTGACAAGTGCCACTTTTAAAAAAATTTCAATTACTTTTTAATCAATTTCAGTTTACCAACTAATTTTTTTAAAAATATACACTCTTCTAGTTCTCTTTATAAATCATTTCTACCAACCTTATCAATGCCAATGCAAAAAAGTATATGAAATAAAAGTGTGTAAAATTTTAAAAATGTCCTTATATAATAAATTCAAAAAGTGATCTTATATTACTTGTTCTCTCTTATAAAGAATAATTTTAAAAATACTTTTCAACTTTTACTTAAAAAGCCATACTGTGATTTATAAATGAGACTAAATAAATCTTTTAAAATATGATTTATAAATAAAATCGAAGGGAGTAAATAAAAATACCGTTACAATAACTAATTTCAACCAAACTCTGAAACTGAAAGCCAAAAACGTTCCATCCAGCCAATTGGAAGATCCTATACCAGAAGGCTAAAGCTATAAAAGTATTATAGATTCATTCAACCATAAAAAATCCTCACTTACCATACTCATGTTATGTGACGGTTATAATTAAATACATCTCAGAGTTAGCATAAATAATGAATCTCATTGCATTTTAAAGATGGGCATCATTAAGACACTAGCTACATAATTCTTACCTTAAAAACACTTAAACACACGTACTCGAAGTTTCAAGTTTAGATTACGCCCTATATCATGTTAGGTTTAGTCAGATGGTTCTCTCTCCCCCCTTTCCTTTTATGCAATAAAACCGGACATCCCCTTCCCTCCAGCAATGCCCTGTCTGCAGTTAGAGATTGTGACCCTATAAGAGAGAGAGGCGCAAGTGACATGATCAAAGATCAAGCCACCTGAAGGATCGAGGACTGGGCAAATAAAGTTCATATTAGATAAACGGAACTCATTTACAGATATATGTTTGGCTTGTCCAATCCATCATTGGAAAAATGAAAGCAAAATATTTCGAAACAGTAACAGAAACACAACAAGCAACATCGGGCTTCCACGGAAACTAAGTGTCTTGAATTTCAAGGACAGATATTGACTAAAGAGCATGTAAGAAGAGATCATAAATTTTTGCAGCTCCCTGCAACTGCCAACAAGAATTCAATACCTATGAAAGAGATTCCCTACAATCCTGGAGGGGTGAGTTGTGCAAATGAGGGTATTTGCTGTGTTCCTTTGTCCAGATGGACGGTAAAAATTTACTACAAACATGAGAAGACGAAAAGTGTAGTCTTTCATCAACTGCATGCAGTATCTTGCTGCTAGAATGCAATTTGGCTCTATAGAAGCAGGGTTTGTGTAATGAATCAAAGCCTAGCTCATCTGCTCTCCGATTAGATCAAGGCCCACAAGGAGGAAGGTAACCCCTTGAAAGAGCAAAAAGTAAAAGTGAACTCCTTGTGCTGATAAAAGACTCCTGACTGAAGCTGTGAGTAGGAGGAATGCCAAAGTCAGCTCTTTTACATATATTTTATTAGCTTTCTTTACAGGCGATGCAACAGCGTCTTTTTGGTCCTTAATTTGGTTCGTTTTGCCAAGTTCACACTCAGAAGATCTTCCACAGATTGTTATTTGTTGCGTCGGTTTTGCTTCTTTATCAGCAGCAAGTAGATCAGACTCTGATGATCTCCCAGCCTTCTTGGTTACAACCCATTCATAAGAGCTGCCCAATTGAAAGAGTCCAGATACCATTGCATTGAATTTAGTGACAGACATGGTGTTTTCGAAGAGGAGATAGGGGACGATAAAAGGGAAAGATTTCGGGGCTGGCAGAATGTTGAGGAAGGACATGAATACAGGCACATAGCAGATCACCCAAAGAGGAAGTTCTGCCTCTGGGACAAACATGGTTAGAGGGAGAATTATGCAAAACAAGGTGAAGGAGTAAAATGGAAGAATGAGTTTCCTCAACAGGAAGAATAGCAGTATTAAATTTGCTTTCTTCCACGCGGATACCTGCAGTAGTGGAGAATTCAAGGCTCTTGAGGCAGTGCGTATCATAAACAAGTGATTAAACAATACTTGCAAGCCCTAAGAACTCGTTCTTCCTTTGTATTTTTCTTTTCTATCACATCAAGAGTATGGGACTTACCTTAGATCTTAAAATTGCTGGAAGGCACAATCTAAAAAGTTGCATAGGGCCAGAATGCCAGCGGTGTTGCTGCTTCCAATAAGCTTCATAGGACTCAGGAACTTCACAAAGCACCTGAAAATTTCAGGAAATTTGTGAAGCGATCACACATGTATAAGAGACCTAGTCATTTCAAGCTATATAAGAATGATTCAGATACATAAACAACTTTTATTCAAATAATGATCACCTTTACATCATTCAGGAAGATGAATTTCCAGCCATTGAGATGAGCTCGTACAGCAATGTCCATATCTTCTACCGTGGTCCTCTCGAGCCAGCCCCCAGACTCCTCTAGAGCTTTGATTCTCCAAACCCCGGCAGTTCCATTGAAACCAAAAAAGTTAAGAAATATCCCATTGACTTGCTGCTCCACCTCGAAATGGAAGGATAAGTTAATATTCTGGAGCCGAGTCAACAAGTTCTCTTCCTTGTTTACAAAAGCCCATCTAGCTTGGACCAAACCTAGTTCGGGATTGTTCTGTAATAAAAACGAGGGCACACAGGCAGTAAAATAAGTAGGACACTCTTTTTATCATAAAAAAAAAAACTACTTACTGAAAATGCTGGATGTTCTCGTTTTAAACCTTGAAATATGGCAGCGTTTGTTTGAGAAAATCAGGATTTGGTTGGAAGTCTGCATCAAAAATTGCTACAAATTCATAATCCTTCGCATAGTCACAGCTCATAGCAGACTTAAGATTGCCAGCTTTATAGCCCGTCCTCAATAAGCGATGCCGATAGATTATGTTGATTCCTTTTTGGCTCCACTTAGTGACCGCAGCCTTGATTAACCACTGTATGCTCTCATCATCAGAATCATCAAGAACCTGAACCAGTAGACGGTCCCTTGGCCAATTAATTTGGCAGACTGCAGAAATAGACTGTTCATACACCTGCAAGAACTCAGAATATTCAGAAACCAAAATATTACATTTCTATCCAGTGATCTCAACATGTTACTTCAGATTGGTTAACAGAGCTACCAAACTTCCACATAAAGGATAGAAATTCCGTATTTATCAAAGAAGGGATGTCTATCAATAAAACTGACTGACAGAAAGGAATTGATCATTCTAGT